TACATACAACAACAGGAATCAACGTCAAAAACATGCAGAGTGACAGAATCCAGACACAAAAGACCATGTGAAATTCTACAATAGGAGGAACTAACCTATGACAGAAACCAGACCACTGATTACCTGGGACCAGGATTGGAGGAGGCTGATTAAAATTGGAGACAAAGGACATTTTAGAAATGATGAAAAAATATTCAATATCTTACATGAGTGTTTACAGTTGTCAAAACTCATCAGCCTGTACAAAATGAGTATACTGAGTGAGCTGGGCATGGTAACACATACCTGTAATCCCAGCCCCTAGAAGGATCCTGAGTTTGATGCCAGCCTGGACTACATAGTGAGATTGTGAGTTGTAAGCTAGCCTGGGCTATATAGCAAGTCCCTGTCTCAAAAAATCAAGGGCTAGGGATTTGGCTCAGTGGTTGGGGTGCTTGCCTAGTATGTGCAAGGACCTGGGTTCCATTCCCAGCACCAAAACAAAAAAAAAAAGGGTAACAACCTTATAGGGTTAGTGTTAGATAAAGATAACATGCGAAAATCCATGGCAGGTAAGTTTCAACTTCAGTATCTCCTACTGGTTCCTTTCTATAGCAACTATGGTTAGCAAGACTGTGCCTGGGATACACGTTCTCTCAACATGAATGGCATGTCTGCTCAGGCCTAACTGTGAACTCTACGACCCTCATAGTTCCACTACCCTCATATTTCCAGCTGTCTGAAGGTATCACTTTGATAGCCAAAGCCAGCACCTACCCAGCTGTTCTCAGAAGCACACCATCCTTCCAGACTTCGGTGGCATTCATTTCTTCCCTCTGCCCTCCTCCCAGTGCAATTTCTCACTGTGTCCTCATTTATTCTGGTGAAGACACTTTCAGCAAGACATTCCACGAAAGGCAGCCTATTCCCACCACAGCAAGCCCTAACTTCACAGCTCCCTGGTTTTCAAAACCTATCTGCAATAATTTGGCCTCATTTTAGCTAACTTTAGTATTCCAATTCAGTTGAACTCACTTCAACATTTGGGTTCTCATTAGAAGGATTGCTGACTGGAGGTGCCTGCCTAGCAACTGTGAAGCCCTGAGTTCAAACTCCAGTCCACTATTAAAAAAGAGAAGCTGCATTAACATTAAGAACTTTCCAATTGCACTCAAGACTGGTTTCCTAACACAGGACACTTCACTTTTCTGTACCTATTTCCTTAGCTATAAAATACACTCAGTAGTTTTAGCTACTTGAGGGAAATGAAGTTTATAAAGGCAACTAGAAAAGTGAAGTGTCACAAAGCATCGTGATTATATGCAGAACGATGTGCCTGCTGCACTGCCACATGGGCACACACGGGCACCCAGACCTGCTTGGCTCCTCTTGCCTTTGCTCGCCAGGTTCTCTGTTGTTTGGAATGCCCTTCCTCTTCTCCTCTTGGATGGCACAAGTAATCTCAATACTTCAAAGACCTCTCTAGTTTTTACATACAGATCACACTGGCAAATTAGAAGCATGGTTTTTTTCAATTATGTATGTAGGGCAGCAGGGAATTCAGTTTCTCTAAGTACATTATAAACTAAAAACAGAAACAGGTCTAGATCCCAGTAGAAGGCTGAAAACTCAATTTCTCACCAAGCTTCTAAATTGCCTGACTTGAATTAGCTCCATTTAAGTGAATAAGTAAGGTTTTAATTTGGCAAGGAACTGATGTAAAAAAGATGCTTCAGAATCATAAAACCCGAGTATGAATGCTGGTTGCAATCTTTGTGACTCTGGGCTATTTAAGCTACCCAAGACCCAGATTCCTCAACATTAAGATAGAGACAATGCCACCTACCCCACCTAATTCAAAATGTTAGCCACTAGGCGCTTACTCCTAAGACCCCACCTATACTTGCGGGGTGGAAGTATGCACTGCTTTTTGTCGTTGTTAAGTGTCTCACTAGCTCAGATGGGCCTCAAACTGGAGATCCATCTACGTCAGCATCCTGAGTGCTGGGATTACAGCTCCCTACTGCACTGCCCCTTTAAGTGACTATAAGTATGCCTCCAACATTGCTTTTTGTTTCAGATAAGGCTCCACCCTTTTTAGGTGACCTAGAGTAAACTTTGCTCATTATCACACTAAATTCCTCCCCCCAGCATTCCCACCTGATGTACAACACTTGATGTATGAACATAGCAGAACCAAGCATGCTCAAGAGTATGTTTACCTCTATATGTGATGTGGAGTCTTTCCTGCATGACTAGATAGGCATTTGCCTAATAAACGCCCCCTGCTCTGTTTGCTAAGGGGGGAGGCATTGCTTTGGGAATTATCCCTCCCACCCTTCTTCCTTGCTACAAGTAATAAACTTTCTTTCACTCTCAGCTCCTGGTTGTGCTTACCAGCTTTTTGCATTGCATTTTGGTTATAAAAAGACTGCTGTAACTAGAAGGGACTGCTGATAGAGCATTAGTAAAGGGCCTGCCATATGGCATTTGTGAGTCAATGACTTCCCATTCTAACTTGCTCTGTGCAATGCTACATGGCATTCCATGCTGTTATATGAGGATATATGCATCTGTATGCAGCCAGTATCTGTGTACTTTCAGCATAAGGACAAGCACACACAAATTCTTTTCCAGTGTTTTTATTTGCGCATTTAACATTCACAAACCATTTTACAGACTTCTTTGCATGGGTTCATTACTTGTAGGAAAGATTGGAATTAAAATGGAGTGTCAAGGAGGATTGTGTTAACAGCAGTGTTGGCACAGGGTACAATGGCTCTGAAAAGTGCAGTGTGTGGCCACTTCCTACTAGGGACATACTGACTTCATAAGGCAAAGCCTTTACTGTCACTTCTTCCTCTCACCTAGTTTGATCCAAATAGAAAGGCATTCTATTCTCACACGACTGCTCTCTGAGGTCTTAGGAACATAACTGGTCCTGTAATTTTGCACCCCTTAACTATAAACACCTGAAGAGACAAATTACATTTTGAGGCATAAACCACCCATCTGGGAGAATTAAAATAAGAGGCAGAGTTTGATTCTTAAGACTTTGAAAAAAAGGAACATACATGTGTGGTGGCAGTGGGGGTAGGGAGAGAAAAGGGGCTCAAGAACGGTGAGTGCAGCAAACCTCTTCCCAATGCACACCTGCTTTTGTTCTTCTCAGATGCCACTGGGCTCCAATATGCATAAAAAAGAAGGCTTATCTCCCTCCAGTCAGTTCTAGGGTGGAAAGGCTAGCTATGGAACATAACCTGGGGAAGGAGTCTATTTAGGTCATGTACAGAACAATCAATTCAAAATTGTGTCCTACAATGTTCTCATCTAACGTGTCATTCCTAGGGTAAATTAATTTACTGTGTGACCTTAGGCAACTGCCTCAATTTTCTACTTGCAAATGAGAACTGTAGCACTTTATGTCAAGGGTGGAGGACACAAACAGTAAGTAAAGAACAGCGCCTGGTCACATCAGTAGAGACAGAGAGCAGACTGGTGGTTGATGGGAGCTGAGGTGAACAGGGGACAGCAGTGACCACTAATGGATGCCAAGATTCTTTTCAGTGATGAATATGTTCTCAAATTAGATAGTGGTGATGGTTGTGCAACTTTGTGTATGTACTAAAAACCACTGAATTAAACACCTTAAAAGGGTGAATTTTATGGTAAGGTGTATCTGAATAAAGCTGTTATAAAAATTCTTAAAAAAATAGAATAGTGCCTCATACACAGTAAGTGCCCAATAAATGTTACGTATTAGTCATATTATTGTTATTATTATTAATTTAGCCATTCTAGGGCCTAAGTAAATCCCTACAAATTCTGTATTTTTAATAAAAGCCCACAGAATTTACAAAAATGTTTCTAATTTATATACATAGATTAACACTCATACATTTATTTCCATCCAAATGTCTCAGAAACTAACAGTCTAGTTAAGAATCACAATTTCAGTGCTTTAAACTGAAACTAAAATAGTTGCATGCAATGGATGTCTATATTAAATCACAATAAACTTTAGATAAACTCCAATGATGTTACCCAAAAATTTGAACTAACAGATTTTCATTTTTGTCTCCAGGAATAAACAGACAGTGCAAATACAGGAAGTCAACAGACTAAGAACATTAAAAGAACACAACTGTATCACCAAGTACAGGTTTGTTAGCTTTCCAGTAACATTTTGGGGGACAATGTTTACAAAAGACAAATAGAGTTAACAGTGAAATGCTTCAGTCTCATGCCCTGTGACCTTGCCCAACAAAAGAAAAACCCCACCACAATGAAAAGATCAAATTGAACTCAAGTAATAAGCCTTTTAAGAGGCAAAAGAGACTTAATGATAAATAACTGACTTTTAAGACCATACTGCACATTCAAATATGTTGTCATCAATTAAGTTTTTATAATGCGAACAGCAACTAAATCAAGTTTTTATACTTCCTACTGCTAAAGAACATAATGAGAGTCTTGGTAGGTCTCAGAACTGGGAGCACAAGTGTTCATCTGTAACAGAGATGACACTCACATTCTGCAGTGATGCATGAAGCAGTTTCCTCTGTTGGAAAGCTCCTGCCCTTCTAGTCCTCATTTCTATAATCAACCATGTGCCTTTGCAGCAAATCAGGGAAAAGCTGTGCTGAGAGTTACAAATTCCAGATACCCAGGCCTTAACTTCTGTCATAGGAAGCGATGCATTTGTTTGCATATGTTAAAAAACATTTATTTACACCTTCTAACGATCATTCACATTCAGGAAAAATAATTAAACCTCCAATTCACCCACCATTTTTTTTGGTGGTGCTGGGGATGGAACCCACAGCCTTGTACGTTCAAGGCAAGTGCTCTACCACTGCACTACACCCCAAGTCCTGCACCTTCATTTTACTCATATAAAACCACTCTCCCAAGAGCAAGAGATTAATAACACAGATCAAGCTGCCTTAACATTCAATATGTATAACCCCCCCACCCACATACCCCCTGCCAAAGTGTGGCCTTAGGAATTTCTAACCAAATGTTTCACCTGAGCAAAATGTGGTAAAGACTTCATTTCCTTTGAGAAGCAAGGTAACCTCTTTAATTATACATTATAATCACTAGAGCAGATTAAAAACACAACTTTGGGAGAAAAATACTTAGTGGGAAGTTAGAAACTTTCAGACAATGGAAATGGATGGTAATTTAGGATCAATCTCAAATTTAGAATCAGTTGCAGAATATTTTCTTTACCAACTCAAGACTGAAACATCAGGTTTGTCCTCACAAGTGTTTGACATTTTAAATGGTAAACTGCAGTGAATATGAATAAATAAGTGAAAACTTTGGCCAAGGTTGGGACAGAGGGGACCAACTCTGTAATTGAGTATGGTTCCAAGAATCCATTTGGACTATGATTGCTTGGTTAATCTAGGGACAGAGAAATTATGCTTTTAGAATCATAAATGTATATGTAGGTACCTTTTAAATACAAAATGAATAAATATTTAAACTGTATGTTAAAGAAAAAATGAGTAAGAAATTCCTATCTTTGTAAGTAACTGCATATTTACAGGAATGTTTCCGGCCTGACTTCTAATCTTTGTCTATTAGAGTTCCTCAATGTGCAATTTATAGAAGGCAACAGCTCATATTACCTTAAAGGAGCCCTGTTTAGCTGAGAACCAGCCTGTCCCAGATGCTCTGCTCCCTGAAAAGCTTTCACACTGTGTGCATAAATATCTGAGTATAAGTAGGTGTACCTGTGCAAAATGTACTTGTCTAAATGGGAGCTAATTAGCTTTACAAATAAAGTTTAAAACACAGAAAATAAATTGCTATTTCCCAGCCCAAAAATCTCATCTAACAAAGAAACTGCTAACCCACTAAAGAGAGACAGCAGCTGTAAACTCAACTAACCCTCCATTCATGCTGTAGGAATCTATTCTGTCAACCAGCCATCGGAACACTAAACCTTCCATGTTAACTTGATTAAATGCACACTTCTGATTTAGCTTTCCTTTCTCTAGTCAGAGGCTGGACTACACAAAATAATGAAGATTTCCTTGTAGCTATGCGGTATCTAAACTACCTTAAAAGAAGGTAGCCATATGGTAATATGTGTTAGAGACCTACCAATCTAAAATTCTGAGTTCTACTTGGGTAAGTTCCAATGTTGGACCACTGAGAATTTCAGACAAAGGAATATTACATGTGAGCTACTAACATTGCATATTCAAAACTAGGGAGCAAGATTAAAAACTAGAGTGTCAACTGAGGTGCTCGCCATGAGGCTAATTCTTTAGATGTCCTTTGCTTTATTTAAAAAAAGCAAGTAACAAGTATAGAATTGTCTTTGATCAAATTGGAATGCTGGTTAATGCACGTTTCCGCTCCCACTTTTACAAATCTCTTTCCTAACCCGTCATTGCCTTTTTAAGCTTAAGAAAGAAAAAGAAAAGAAAATGGATACAGACTATCCATTGTTATTTGTGAAAAGAGAGGCATATTCTAATAGTCATAAGGCAATATGTTTAAGAGCTGCACCTGAACTGGTACTCTCAAAGCTGAAAATAGTTACCAACTCTATTCAATTTAGGGTGTATCCATGTGCTTTCTGAGTCACTGGTTGTCACCCAAATGGACCATAGTGACTCCATCATGCCTTCGGGAGGCATTATACTGTGTGTAGTATGCACATGTATTTGAAAGACAGAACAGTAAGAGGAAAGGGACAGCCTTGCAAACATCAGTCCATATATAAGTGACGACAGTGCTTCATGCTGTACGGCTCCCTTTTAATACCTCCAAATCCAGACAAAAAGGGTAGTGTCAAAACTCCTTAGTGAACTGTATCTTTCACATGAGTCTTCAGTTCACTGATGTTAAACTTGCCTCCTGTTTACTAAGGAGTGAAAGTGAGAATCATCCAACTGATGACGAAGTAGAACAGAAAAACAGGATACACAGCAAGAGCTTTGCGATTTGGAGGCTGGCTATCAGCAAGAAAAGCTGTGGAGGCTAAATAAAACAAAAAGGAGTATTTAATAATATATTATTATGACTGTTAACATTTACTAAAATTCCATTGCTTGGCATAATCTGGAACACAGAATTGCAGTAAAAGTTCAGTTCTACTTGTGACCCCTTAGAGAATCACACTAAAAGCTCAGGTAGAAGGCTGGGAATGTGGCTCACTGGTAGGATGCTTGCCTAGCATGCATGCGACCCTGGTTCCATCTCTAGTATGGCCACAAAAGAGAAAAGCTCTTACTTAGATTTGTGATCTTCAGATAGCTGAGGGCTTCTTGTGTGAAGTAATGAGTCTTCACGAGTTTTATGCTGTTTTAGATAGAAACCTTTCTAAAAGAAGTTTATTCTCCTTTTCTGGCAAGTTATTGAACTGTATTGAACAGGCTTATAAAGATGTGTAAGGTTATTTGTTCCTATAGCATACAGCGTTGTATTGCCACTTTTTTTTGGTAGTGCTAGGATTTGAACTCAGGGCTTCATGCTTGCAGGCAGGTACTCTACCACTTGAACCATTCTGTCAGCCCACTGCTGCATTTTTTAAATGAACTGTTCTTAAGTTATTGGCTCTTTCAAATGCCATCAACTGTCCATCTGAAAAAACCCTATTTCCCTTTCTACACATCAAGGATAACCCCTCTAGGAAATCTTGCTTGAACAGTCTGAACCATTGCTTGCCTTCCTGCTGCAACTGCCCCCTTCCCTCTTCTGAATCCCCACTGGACCCTGAACACTATTGCCCTTAAGTGTTTTCATGGCTGGCTGCTCCATCACTTTGAACTGCAAGACGATTCCTTGCACAATGCCTGACACATAGCTTGTAATTAAAGAAATATTTGCTCAACTAAAGCCTCTCTCTCCTAAGCGTCTACAGGGAGAGTCTACAGAGTGAGACAGGGTGTCACTCTGTAGCCCATGCTGGCCTCAACGTCATGATTTTCCTGGCTCAGTCTTCCAAATGATGGGATTACAGGTGTGCACCACCATGCCTAGCTTAAGATTCTATTTTCTATTCTCCTGTGGGCTAGTGAAAACTATATATATGGTAAGTAACAAAGTCAAAGTGAAGGAATGAGGGGTTCTCGCACGGGGAAAGCACTCAAGCCTAATATACAGTCTTTGGAACATCAACTCTGTCTCTCTCACTTTCCCAGATTACTTCTTAGTTTTCAACCATGTTCCAGAGTAATAAGATAGAACCGCACTTAAAAATATTAGGCAGTCTGACTCGGTAAATAAGAAGCTAGTGAACACCTCTACTTTAAGCTGGAATTTAAAAAAAATTTTAGGGGCTTGAGTGCTTGCCTAGTCTGAGGCTCTGATTTCAAACTTCAGTGTCACCACAAAAAATAACAAGAGAATTTTAGGAACGTAAAAACAATGAGCATATGACGTTCACTGTCACTTCTATAGACCTTTCCTGATCTTTAGCAAAATTTTCTACTAAAGCAGAAAAGTACTATAGGTACTTTAAAAAATCCCTAATCCAAAATGCTCCAAAATTCAAAACTTTCTGAATGCCAACAAGACACCACAAGTGGAAAATTCCACACCTGATCTCATGTGACAGGTCGCTATTAAAAATCAGGCATTTAAAGGAAAATGATGGAGGGGGTGAATTCAACTATGATATATTGTAAGCACTTTTGTAAATGTCACAATGTACAACAATAATAGGATAATAAAAAAAGCCTCAGGCATACTAAAAATAGTGGGTAAAATTACTTTTAGAGTTGGGTGCTGGTGGCTCATGTCTGTAATCCTACCTCTCAGGAGGCAGAGAGCAGGAGGATGCTGGCATGAGGCCAACTGGGCAAATAGTTCACAAGACCCTATCTCAAAAAAGCCCATCATAAAAAAGGGCTGGTGGAGTGGCTCAAGTAGCAGAGTGTCTGCCTAGCAAGCGTGAGGCCCTGACTTCAAACTTCTAGTACCACCAAAAGAAAATTACTTTTAACCTATGTTTAAATGGTGTATATGAAACATAAATGAACTTCGTATTTAGACATGGGTCCCATCCCCAAGATATCTCATTATGTGCAAGCAAATATACCAAAATCCAAAAAGACACAAAATTCAAAGGACTTCTGATCCCAAGCCCTTTGGATAAGGAACACTCATTCTGTATGCAATGATACTTACAACCTATACAAGAAAGTGGAATAGGGCAGATTTTAAAATTGTGTGATCTGCTTCGATTTCAAACCTCACTCCGTTACTCACTAGGGGACTGAGCCTCACCTACAAGATGGGGCTAATAACAGCATTTGTCTAATCCGGTTGCTGTGAGGGTTAAGAGAGATAATAGATACAAAGCATTTACAACTTGTGTCTGGACTATAATAAGCCATCTGTACATGCTATTATTTTTATTATGACTAGTTTGTCAGGAAAACTTCCAAGTCATTTCCTAAGTCACTTATGCCTCATATATACCAGGACTGAGCAGGATCTAGTGTAATCTGTTTTCCCAACCCTGCCCATTACTTAAGGAAAGAAAAATATGACTCTTAGCCGAGTGTAGTGGAACAAATTTGTAATCCCAGAACTCAGGAGGCTGAGGCAAGAGAACAGTAACTTCAAGGCCAGCCTGGGATACATAGCAAGATCCTGTGACTCTCCATACTTTTCTTATTTTTGGTAGTACCAGAGTACTAGCATGTGGTAGTACACATGCTAGGCAAGAGCTTTACCATTAGACTATATCACCAGCCTTTTAAAAAATTTATTTTGAGACAGGATACTGCTAAATTGCCCTTGAACTCACAATCATCCTGCCTCAGTCTCCCAAGTAGCTAGGATTACAGGTATGCCCACTATGACTCTCCAAATCTTGTAAGTCCAGATACCCAACTGAGATATGATGGACAGCACTGCTATCAATGTCTACTTAAAACAGAGGATTCTGTGAATAATACTGGCTGGAGTCATACCACTCAAATTGACATTGGAATTTCACTGCCACATCTGTTCACCTTTAACTCATGTTTTTGTCTGTTCTGCTACTACAGAGATATGTACATACTTACCGATAACAGACCAAGCAAACATCACAGTCACCACAAAAAGCCGAACCATAAAGTTTACTGGTCCTGACTCTGCCAAAAGTACCAGGCGGCAAATCAGCATTGCCACTGTCAAGGGAAGTATGCAGTAACCCAACACACACAGGCTCTGAAAAAAAGATCTGCAAACAGGCATCCACAAAGCTCATCAGTATGACAACATAGCTTGTCATATTGCTGTCTATATACCATGGACTGTCGCCTCCCTCCTGACAAATTACACATACACTCAGATGTTCACTTTATGGAGCTAGTCCTCTGTGCTAAGCACATGCTTTCATTTTCTCTCCCCATGATCTCCCTTCTCCTTTAAGCCCCTTAAGAGTCAGCTTTCTAATACCAGATGATCCGCTCTAATTTCCAGCTCTCCTTCCACTGAACCTCTAAGATGGTGGTCCTTATTCCTTTCTAGTTACAGACATATTTGAGAATTTGTTTGAAGCTATGGACCATCTGTCCTCCAAAATGTACATAATCTTCTAACCTAAAAATTCTGTCCATGACTTCGGAGGCTGGAAAGATCTGAAGCTTATCAAAGGACCCTAAATAATTTAAGCTAACTTAATTCCACTAGGTTTCTCTATATTCAGTGGTCTTAAGAGAACTTTTTCTTTGGTCCTCAGTTAATTCTACTTTTTCTAAAAATCTAAGATCTGCTATCTGGTAAGGGGAAAAAAGGTACATTTTAGTGATACTCACATGTTTCCACCAAGAAGTTTTGAGTTGAGGGTGATAGTAACTGCTCCAAACCAGACAATGACAAATACTTCCGCAAACTGGGGCCCTCCATCTTTTTCGCTATCCACAGAGCCTCTTTGCAGCATTCTGAGACAAGGAAACAGAATGACAATTGCCTCATCTTTTACTCAGAGCAACAAAATTCAGGCATGGGTCCTCACACTTTGAACCAGACTGCTGGGTCATACCTCATCTGAACATCTGTAACATGTAGGTCGCGCTGAAAGGAAACTGCCCCAAGTATCTGGCATTTTCTTCAACGACAAATGCCTCAGTACTGTTAGGGGTGCTGCATTTGACTTTACTGGAATGTTTAAATGGATTACTCAAGACCTTTGTGTTCAAGCAAAGGTTATAAACTGAAGGGCCAAACGTGGCTCATATACTACTTAAAATTGTTTTAAATTTAATTTGATATTATTTTAAAATTGGATGGTTTCTCTTAAGAATATGCATTTCTGAAGATAAGCATGCTTGCACATACCTATAACCCCAGTTCTTGGGAAGCTGAGGCAGAAGAATTACAAATTTAAGGCCAGCCTGAGCTATGGGACAAGAATAGGTTTCTAAAAAAATATTATGTATTTCTGGAGCAGGGGATGTAGCTCAGCAATAGATTGCTGACCTAGCATACCATGAGGCCCTGGGTTTGATCCCCAGTACCACAAACGAAAAGAATCTGCAATACTGGATTTTCCCCCCTCTTTTTGGACAGTACTGGGATTTGAACTCAGGGCTGCACATTGCTAGGCAGGCACTCTACCACCTGAGCCCTTTTTTGATTTTAATTATTTTTCAGATAGAGTCTCATGTGTTTGCTTGGAGTGGCCTTGGACTGTGATCCTCCTACCTATGCCTCCCATGTGGCTGAGATTACATAGGTGATCCACCATGTCTGGCTTGTTGGCTGAGATGGGGTCTTGCTAATTTTTTGCCCAGGCTGTCCTCAAAGTGTGGTCCTCCCAATCTCTGCCTCCTAAGTAGCTGGGATTACAGGCACATACCACCATACCTGGCCCTTTTTCTTTTTGAGACAAGGTTCTCCCTATGTAGCCCAGAATGGAGTGGAACTTGCTATGTAGTCCAGGGTACCCTCAAACTCACAATTCTCCTACCTCATCCTCTTGTGTGTGGGGATTATACACATGCACCACCACACATGGCTTAATTTTCTTGAAAAGACAAAAGATTCTCACACTAGGACTGCATTCCAACATGGCAACAATCAGGTGCAGCTGAAATAGCAGGAGCCTTACAGTCACAGGATCACTACTGCTGCATTGAGGTTACTTTTCTAGCTGTTAGACACATCTGAATTTGTAATTCTTGAGTTAAGGGTTTAGTTCAGATACTTAAAAGTTGAAATAGTCTATAAACATAATGAGTTGTTGGGGTTTGATCGAAACATACAGATCATTACTAAAAGACTACTGTGGAATATTTAAATAGTCTTTCTTAGTCTAAGGATTTTACAGATGTAAAAATCTTGAAATCTGGACTTAGAATACTTGGACTTTATATTATTTTCTCCAGAAAAAATAATAAATAACAGCCAGCTCATAACCTCTTCTTATAGAGTATAGAGAAGCCACGTAGTAAGCCAGCCAGTCTTGCCTGGCAATGCCACCTGCCAGTATGTGCAACGTTTTATATTGGATAGCTGTGCATATTCCATCCCAAGTGTTGACAAGCAGATGCAAAGAACGTGCCAGCACTCATCATTTGTTGTCTGGAATCCCTATTGCTTCAGCATGGTAAGGTAGAAAGAGTATTAACTAGTTTGGAGGCAGAAGACCAGACACTGACCCAAGTTCTATCACTAAATATGTCACTTGATGTCTTGGAACTCAAATTTTCTCCGCAACTAAGTGGGGTTAAACTACATAATCTCTAAGGTTATTCTTTCAAAATGAAAAATAACTATATGCTCACCAGCTTCTAATATAACTTTTCTATCAAGGCAGTGAACTGATTCCCTTGATATGGTTATTAAAGGTATAAGGAATAGCACTACATTATGACCTAAATGAGCATATGCTCAATTTAAATGAAAAAGTTAGGGCAGTGTCATTTTGTTTAGAAAATTGGAGAACAGGAGGGCGAAACAGCTTCTGCCTGGGAAGTTGGTACCAGTGTGTGTGGGGGGGGGAGGATACACAGAAAGGGTGTAGGAGCGTGAATATGGTGCCAATATTGTGTACACATGTATGTACACAATAAGATCTACTGAAACTATTCCAGGAATAGGGGGAGGAGGGATAAAAGACGATAGAGGGAGTGAATTCAACTATGATATATTGTAAGAAGTTTTGTAAATGTCATAATGCACCCCCAGTACAACAATAATAAAAATACTTAAATTAAAAAAAAGTAGGGTCGGGAGTAGTCTAGTTGGTAGAGCACCTGCCTAGCAGGTGCAAGGACCTGGATCTGATCTCCAACACCACACAAAACAAATTAGAAGGGGCAGGGGATGTAGCTCAGTGGTAGAGTGCTTGCCTAGCAGGCACACATCCTTAGTTTCATTCCCAGCACTTTAAAAACAACAAAAAGTTAGTAAAGAACCTAAGAATAAATGTGTTGCAATTAGAACCAAAAAGGGTTAGGCCCATCAACAACCTCTTTTTAAGATATGGAAAAGGAGACCCAGAATGGTTAGATGGGAAGCAGTACAATAATTATAGGGGTAGAGAATAGGCAGTCAGGAAACCTGAGGTTCAATTCCTCAGGTTGTGATGTTAGTCTAGACTTCAACATTTCTGAGCTTGGGTTTGTTTTTTAAGAAAGGAAGCTATTTAGTTCTTGTGACAAGGATAAAATCTGAAGGTATTTAAAAGTTTTGTTTAAGTCGGACATGGGGGTACATGCCTGTAATCCCAGCACTCAGGAGGCTGAGACAGGGGAACTGCAAGTTCCAGGACAGCCTGGGCTACGTAGTGAGACACTGACTCAAAAAAAAAAAAAAAAGAATTCTAAAAAAAATACTCAAAATTCCCCTCAGTTCTGAAACTTAAAAAAGTCTAGTGTAGCTCAAATGGCAAACAAAGGAAATGTAAGTACTTACAATGCAAGTGTCACACAAAGGATCAAAGGGCCCCACAAGTCCCCTATAAGGCAAGGAAAGACAGACGACTGTTAAGAAACAAATATGTAGTATTTTCATTTTTTGCAGTAAATAGGATAATGTTTCTATAATTTTATTCTATGGAAAGCTTATATAAATGAATATGAATAATCACTTGAAAATAGGTAAAGGATAACAGAAATATCTCAAAGGAAATAAGATTTACTCTTGTTTTTTATTAGCATATATTAATTGTACTAAGTGAGGGGTTTCACTGTGATATTTCCATACACGCATATAATGTGCTTTGATCATATTCACCCTTCTATTGCTTTCTTATTCCCATCCCCCTTTTAACAATTTTTAATGCTCACTACTCTTTTCACATGTGCATACAATGTACTTCCATCATAGTCACTCCCCCCATCACCCTATCTTTTCTTCTTCCTTCCTCTTCATGCTGGTTCCCTTTTACATTCGTGTCATTTTTTTGTTTTTTTAGTTCTAGATTCTGCACATGAGAGAAAGTATATATTTGTCTTTCTCCACCTGGCTTATTTTGCTTAACATGATAATCTCCAATTGTATCCATTTTGTTGCAAATTACACAATTTCACTTTTCTGTATGACTGAACAATACTCCATTGTGTATATTAGCACATTTTCTTTATCCATTCACAAGTTGTTGGGCACCTAGGCTGGTTCCATATTGTGGCTGTTGTGAATAGTGCCCCTATAAACATGGGTATGCAGCTCTCCCTATTGTATGCTCCTCATACCAGTAGTGGTATAGCAGGATCATATATTTCCATTTTTCTGAGAAAATTCATACTATTTTCTATCTACCTCTCCCACTCTTGGAATTCAGACAGCAAGACTCTCTGTGTCTGCCCAACCCTTCACACCTCTCCTGTCTCCCACTTGCTCTCCCTGCTCCCCAGTTCTAAATGCAATTCCTTACATATACTTTAAGCTTTGTTCACTTCACATCCCACAAATCACCCCTCTCCTCATCTAATAAGCCACATTCTAGCATGTTGAAAGCTATGAGCCATCTGTCCCCCAAATGTACATAATCTTCTAACATAAAAAATTCTGCCTGTGACTTCAGAGGCTGGAAAGGAAATCTGAAGCTTATCAAAGGACCTAGCTCACACCTTCCCCCCACATTCTCAGGAAGAAGACTACTGCCAAGTCACTTCACAAAGCTGAAGTTATATGAGATAGACAAATAGTCCCGCTCAATTCAGGGATATGAAAAATGAAAGTGAGGAAGAAGTGACTTGCCCAAGTTCACATGTAGAGGTGGAAGAGAACCTAGGTCTGCTGTTTCTTAGCCCAAAATTCTCACCACTTTCTCACATTACTTCCCTTTAATAATTATTATGTTGAACTAATGGAACTGCTGTTCTTCTGCATGAAAAAAACAGCCCAATGTCCGTAACTTGACAAGGCTAACCTTACACATAGCAAGCAAAAGCTTTCTAACAGTAAGGTATCATGATATGAAGCAAATCCTTGAAAACGTCATATACTTACAATCTCTCAGAAGAGTGTTACTCTTCCTTGGATATAAAACATGCATGAACTTTTTCCCAACAGCTTTTAAGTCACGCATCTGAAAGACATAAACAACATGCATTGCAATGACCAAGGTTACTAGGCAGCCCACCCACTTAATTTGCTAAAATTTCTTTTACTTCAGTCTTCTGGGAACTCTTTATTCAATTTTGGAACTAATTCCAGCTTAACTCCTTTACTGTCCAAAGAGAGAGAGGGAAGGGATGCTTTTTCTATTAACACCTTAGGCCAACATCTCACTTTCCTTTTTGGCAATACCAGTTTGAATTCAAAGCACTTGCCTAGTGAGCACAAAGCCCTATCACTTGAGCCACTACCACAGCCCCATCCAACAATTTTATACATCTACAAAACATAGTATGTGATATTCATCTGATACACGATGAGGACACCAAGGCCAATTGTCATGCTCCCTAGCATTCTTTGTAAGATATAAAATAAACTGTCTCCAACATTCACAACTTTACTGATAAATGAATTAATCAAGACATTTGAGGAAGGGTTTAGTGATACAAATATAACCTCTCAAAATACAGTAGAAATAATTCTGTCCTTGTTTTTAATCTTTTTGAGACAGGGTCTCACTATGTAGTCCAGGCTGGCCTAGAATATGCTAGCCCAGGCTGGCTAATTCACTTAAGTTATATTCAATTTTACTACAAAGAATGTAATAATGAACAACTTTGTATATTGATTTTTTTGTGTTAAAATCTTTTAAAATTGTTTTTGTACTATATTTAGAGAAACAATTTGGACATTTTAAGATTCTTAATACCAACTGTAACTAAACTGCTCTCCAAAAACAGTTATGAATTATTCTTTAGGGGAGAAGCTTAAATTTCAATAAATAAAATAAACTGAAAATCAGCAAACCAACCTAAAATATTGCAAAGTATAATTAGCTATTTAGTCCCATGATGCTGAAGAGACATTCTCTTTGCTAGTGTAACTTACGATAGTATTCTGAACAGATTCATTTAATGTGGAGCTGTCAAATTCTCGAATGCGAGACCTCATAGGAATGGTGATCTCTCCTTCTATCGGGATGTCTTGCGAGATGGATATATCAGAAAGTCCTGCAAACTAAGAAGAGTTAGAAAAAAATTTAAGCCTATAATAAACTGCAGCATTCCTCAAAGATATCATCATTTCCTAGAGGAGGGACCATGTCTTTTTGTAGGGTTTTACATAGCAGTTAAAGTATGTGTTAGCCAACAGACATTAAGTAAGGCATATCCCATTATAATTCTCAAATACTTCTTTTAATTTAAAGGAGATGGAATATAATGAAAAAATACTGAAAGTAAATGCCACACTTTCTTACCCTCAAATATTTACTTTCTTCCAAGCATGAAATTTCTACATGACACCAGCTAGCAAGATTGAGATAATAACTGCTATTAAAAAGTGACCGAGCAATCACATTTTCTACTGCACTTCTTTCTGTTCCTTACTGGGCTTTACTGGCCTCTACTGGCTAAAAAAGAGCATTACATAAAATGTAAAGAACTTGGAAGAAGGAGGCAGCAAAATATACCATGGTCCACATTGTTTTTACTACTTGATCTGACAACCACGGACAAAATTCTCAAAGTGAATTAATGAATGTGAAGTTTTAAACTCTGTGCTTATCTGCTCAATTAGGTTATCATGATCAAAACTTGGGAATCTACAAATTCCTAAGAAAACAGAAGCAATCCATTCTCATTCAGTTTTTGCCCAGTGGGCACAATTTTTAGTGGGCAACAGCTGCAGGTGAAACACAAGACAGTATAGTAAAACTCTACGAAGGGTGAGGGTGTTCAAAGAACTTATGAAAAGCTTCTCAACACCTCTCACATTTTGTGAAAACAAGAAATAATCTGTATGATTTTCAGGTCTCCTATAAAGGAAGATGGGAATTAGGTGGTAGAGCAGATAGGCAGAGGAGTTAGGCTTCTTCATATACATGTTTTTCTCTGTCCATGAGTAAAAATCACTTAAGTAGTTAGTTAACATCTGAGAAAAACTAAATACAAAACAGAAACTAATGAACCTATCATATATTGAATTAAATACACAACCACAAAGACAGCAACTATTTCACTGACCACGTAACACTATAATTTGGCTGAGACACAGAAAGCTGAAAAGAGCATCCCCCAACCAGAACAATGGAGAGAAAGCTAAATAAACTACAAAATCATAACTGTCCTTGAGCCTATCAAAGACCTGAGGTTGTAGAACAACCAAGTAGCCTGGATGTGCAATCTAAGGAAAGACACAGGACATCAGCACTGGCTTGACTGCAGCAAAGCGTGAGAAGACAAGATCAGTAGGTACCATACAGACGGGCAAGAATTCAGCTACAATTTTAAATGAATTACTAAATATCAAGTACAGAAGTACAGAACTCCTGGAAGCAATTGACAACTCACTTGCAGGCTCCTCCAGACTTCACTGGATGCTCACAGAAAGGTTAGCAGGAGGAAAGAAGTGCAGATATAGGAGAAGGGAGCAGATGCCACTCAGAAAAGCAGAAAACTGCACCTAGACCCTCCCCAACAGAAAAAGACCCTTAAAGCTGCTTGGGGAAGGAAACAAATGTTGCTTCCAGATTACAGGTGAAGACCCATTATGCTTGAGGAAAGAGGAAAGAAAAATCTCTCTTCTCCTGAAGGAGGGACAGGAAACCACCCTGGGCCCAGACCATAAAGAGTTTCCTTCAGCTGGAGGAGAAACAGGACTGAGAAAGTCACACTCAAGATTCCCTGAGGCCTATCAAAGGCTGGACCACGACAACAAGGGTTTCCCCCTCCCCGCTAAGAGGTGTGGAGTAACAAGCAACAGCAATCCACTGCTGTGGTAGGGGATAGAGCTTGAGACACAAGGGCAAAAGACAAAACAAACAGGAACATTAAGAAAAACACTGAGCTGAGTGCAGTTAGCTCACATCTGTAATCCTAGCTACTCAGGAGGCAGAGATCATGAGGATCAAGTTTCAAAGCCAGTCCAGGCAAATAGTTTGTGAGACCCTATCTCAAAAAAATCCAGACAAAAAACCCCTGGAGTGGCTCATGTGGTTCAGCACCTGCCTAGCAAGCATGAAGCCTTGACTTCAAACCCCAGTACTGTGCTCCCTACCAAAAAAGAAAAAAGAAAAACACTGGAGCTGGGGGCATACCTTGCCCCCAAACATGAATGCCTCTTGAGCAAGCATGAGGCCCTGAGTTCAAACCCTAGTACCACCAAAAAAAGAAAGAAAGAAAAACACTGGAACAAACTAACACCCTCTCTAAGCCCAACATAACAGCATAGGAATTTGAAGCTAGAGGTGCCTTAAAGGTATTTTCAGCAACAACAAAACCAAAACACAACTAAACTTCTTAACAGATTAACCCAATTTCCACAGTGACACTTTGCAGAAGAGATGTGCCACTTCTGGGAGTCTCCTGTTCTACATATAATGCTTAGCATTATGTAATAAAATTATTCCCAAACTACATACCAGGAAAAAAACCCAACTCAATGTGACAAGACAAAGCAGTCAGTAAAACAAGATTCTGAGATGACTCAGATGTTGGAATTATCAGAAAAAGTTTAAGGGATTATAATTAATATGCCTGAGAGACTAAAGAAAAAATACATGCACTAATGCTGGTGAATTTCTTCAAAGAGATGGAAACTATAAGAGTCAGACTGTAACACTAGAAATAAATGAACATATTAACAGATGAAGAATGTCCATGGCATGCACCTGTAGTCCCAGCTAACAGGGAGGCTGAGGCAAGAGGATCACAAATTTGAGGCCAGCCTGAACAAGACAGTGAGACCCTGTCTCAAAAAAAAAAAAAGAATGACTTTGGGGACAAAACCAGAATAGACCTTTGGGTCTGATCTAGTATTTTTTTTTTTTTTGGTGGCACTGAGGGCCTCATACTTGCCAGACATGCGATCTACCACTTGAAGCACTCCACCAGCACTAAATGGTCTAATTGTGCGATTAATTGGAATTCCAGAAGAAAAAGAGAGAACAGACCTGAGGCAGTATCTGAAAAGATAATGGCTGAAATTTTTTAAAAATTAATGAAAGACATCAAATGACTCATACAAGCCCAGAGAACTACATTCAAGATAAATACCCAAAAACAAAATGAAAAAAATCCACAAACCTATATAATCAAACTACTGAAAACCAAGGATAAAGAGAAATCTTGAAAGCAGTCAGAGAAAAAGGCACTGAATTCACTGGAACAGGAATAAGAACGCAAAGACATCTCACCAAAATTATGCAAGCCAGAAGAAAACACTTTTAAGAGTGCTGAAAGAATAAAAGTGTCAACAGAGTATTCCAATCTCAGCAAAAAGCAAAATAAGGATTTTTTTCAGAGAAGCAAAAACTTGATAATAAAAATAATATAATAAATAAGAATAAAAGGATGGGGCATGAGGTAAAAGGGGAACTGTCTGGGGAGGGGATTAGTGGGAAGAGGAGGGAGAAAGATGAGTATACTGGGGGATGAAAAGGATTGAAGTATACCGTGTGTACACCGTGTGTGTTTGTGTGTGTGTGTGTGTGTGTGTGTGTGTGTGTGTGTGTGTGTGTGAAGATGGCATAATGAAACCCAGTACTATTTGAAGAGAGAGAAGAGGGGGGTTAAGGGAATATATTAGAAGGAAACATGGATTTACACAAAGAAATGAAGATATCCAAAAGTGGTTAAAATGAAGGTAAATGTTTTTACTTTTAATTATTCTAAAAGATAACTTTTTGTAAAGGGCCAGACAATAAATATTAATACATGTATAACACACAGTATCAGCACACAGCAAGGGCTAGATAGATGTTAGCTCAAGTTCAAGATGCCCAAGGGAGTCAATTCCATTTTTGTCACTGTTATACAATAAAGAATTTGGCCAGTCTTTGCCAACTGTTTCTGGAAGGTAACTTCTAAACTCAGAATTTCCTGAATGATAAGAGTATTGTGTTATTCATGGTGGGCTCTGATAGTTTCTGCTAACAATTTCCCTAGATAGTTTATTCTAAGGAGATGACCCAGGATGGTGGCTAACCACACCAGAAAGAGCAAACAGAGCCAGGCACCAGGGACTCACGCCTGGAATCCTAGCTATTTGGGAGTCTGAGATAGAGAGGACAACAATTCAAGGCCAGCCAGGCAAATAGTTTGTGAGAGCCCATCTCCAAAATAACCAGAGCAGGGGAGAGAAGAGATGAAGAATGATGGAGGGGGGTGAATTTAACTAAGATATACTGTAAGCACTTTGTAAATGTCGCAATGTACCCCCAGTAGAACAATAGGATAATAAAAAAAATGAACAGAAGAAAATGGACTGGAGGCATGGTTCAAGCAATAAAGCATGCCTGCTTTGCAAGTGAGAAGTCCCGAGTTCAAACCTGCCCCAGTTAAAAAAAATTAATGGGTTAGGTCTTTAGGTCATGAGATATAAACCCAAAATTTGGCAAAGGGAGGGAACTAGAGTTGAGTTTATGTGGACAATGACCCAATCAATTATGCCTACATAATGAAGCCCCAATAAAAACTCTAGACACATGGCTAAGCTTCCCTTATCCCAATACTCTGCATATTGTCACAAATTAATATGCCAGGAAGATAACACATCCTGACTCCACAGGGAGGAGACAAAAGCATTTTTGTGTTTGGGACCTTTCAAAACTTTACCTTGTATAAATCTTTTACTGGTTCAGATCTTTTTGCTACGATAAAATTGTAACTTTAAGAATAGCTTTGTCCTGAGTCCTGTGGGTCATTCTAGTGATGATCCTGAGTCATGCAAACCCCTAAAAGTGTAGCAACTAGTCGAAGTGAAAGTGTCCTAGGAATAGCCCAAACTTG